TATCCGGTAAATGTAATTCTTGGAATCGCAGTCCGCGTTTAGTGGCCTGGTTTTCGTGAGGCTGCTACGGATAGTGTTACCGGATCTGAAGTAGGTTCTGATGTTGTACTTGGAACCAATTCTTCTTATCCTCTCCGATAATCCTCTGATGTAGGGAAGTGCAAGCACTGGTTGTGACGGCTTCTCTTCCTTGCGAGGCTCCTGCTGTCTTTTAGCCAAAGTCTTTTCTACCATCGATTTGGAGTAGTCATTCCGCCATGATCTTCAACGGAATGGCTATCCGTACACTATCCATAGCAGCCTCACGAAAACCAGGCCACCAAACGCGGATTGCGATTTCAAGTATTGCCTTTACCGGATACCCTGTGAGTGCGGAAAATCCTATTGGTGAAAGTAAGAGGCCATTGAATGTTCGCAATGCCGAGCACAAGAAACACACACATCGAGAGGAAACCAGCAAATCAGGAATAGCAGACCATGTTTGGACCCATCAACACAACATCGAGTGGTCCCAAGCTGAGATCTTGCACAGAGAGGAACATTGGTTTGGGAGAAAATTCAAGGAAGCCGCATACATGTTAACCAACAACATATTAAGCCAAGCCAGCGTAGAAATACGCAACATATGGAAACCCATCATCAAGCGAAAAATGGCCAACTCCCGCTAAACGGTCATCACCCACGGAACTAGTGAAGCGGAAAATGGAAAGCGTGGATAAGTGAAAGTACTCGAACGACCTATAGATAGTCATCTCTCGGAGGAATCAGTCCAGTCATCACCCGAAGATGATTGTAGATACTAACAATCGAAACGTCGTGAACTAACGTGATTTGGAATCTCTCCAGTTTTTTTCTTTTTTCATTTCTTTATTTTTATTTATTCAATTTCATTTCAGGTTTATTTCGTTTAATATAATTGTTATTTTCAGCTATTCATTTTTAATTATTCTTTTTTAGTTGTTTCAGGGATTTCAAATCATTTTCTATAGTAGACAATGGAAGTCCGAACTAGTGAAATAAATTTTAGGGGTTGCGTTTTCCACCCCATACAACCATGGGGTAAACTAAATAAATTTCTGGCTAAGTGTCTTTTTGGTAGTACAAAACCTCAGGGTAATTTCAATATTGTAACTTTTTTAGTACTTGTGAAAAAAATTGTTGTACAAATTTTGTGAACTCCTTTAAGGGGCTGTATCTTAAGAAAGGATGCTCCAATGAAAAGTCTTCATATGAAAGATCCTACCTTTTTTTCGATGAGGAATCTCCTCCTTGAATGTTTTACACTTACTCAGTTACACCCTTTATATCGGTTTTAAGTGATTTTAAGCAATTATTCTTATACATACCAATTTTATGAAAGTCTCATTATGTCTCATTTCATGTATTGTGACTTCCTCAAATCAAATCAAATCCTTCATTTTCCTGTTCGACAATTTCATAAGTAATTGTATTAGGAATAGTCAGTAAAGCTAAAATTATAAACTACTACACTAAAACTAGAAGCACACACCTATAAAAGTTTTCAACATAACGTAGTCAAATATATCTATCTATCTATCTATCCATTGTGGTGAAATCGACGAAATGTATCAAAAATTCCTTCAGTAACAGCCGGCACTGGTCCGATCCTGCTCCACAACAACGCCCGTCCGCACGTTTCACAAATCTCCTCACCCACCATTCTACCAAAACCTCTCGGTAACAGACGACCACCCTTTCAAGCACTCACCGAGTATTCACGAACAAAAATTTTCAAACAATCTAATAATTTTCTCCCGATCGTCGTAAAACAATTCGGGTACAACCAATAATGAATGAATAACATAAAATCAACACTGTTTGATGTGCTAGCATGACCACGATCAACGTCTTTCAAACCGTCGGAAACACAGAGCAATTAAATCCTTAATTATCTTGGAATACCAGGACAAGGTCTATTTACTGGCGGTGAGTCAAGGATTTTTGTGTCACAAACACAATTCCAACTAATCCCCCGCCGTTTACACCAGACTATTGCATTTGATTATTTACATTATTCAACCCCGGGGTCTGCAGGGCACACAACGCGGAATTTAAATAGGGAAACTCGCACGGGTTAGTTTCCGGCTGGAATTTCTCTTCGCTTCTGTTAGAGTGCCTAGACGTGAGTTAACTGTCTATTAGGAGATTGCGAGCTGTATGATGATACCGGATAATCGTGTGAACTATCGCCTGCCGGAATTGTTCGCATAATAGGTGGATGATGTTCTCCATTGTTAACGCAAACAAGTCAGAATGCAAAGCTGGTTCTAATCCTGAAAAGGATATGTCCGAACAACGGAAATTCAAGAACATTTCATAACGAAGGTCTATAGAAGCTTTGGATCTCCAAGTTGGCGTATTGAGAAAGATTCAATGGTTGAAAGTTTCAGATATGGCTTTAGAGAAAATTGTTTGAGGACTTTTCAAGTTTTAACCTCTCAACAGGCCGTTCAATGAAGTAATTCATTGAAATCATCAAATATTATCGTAGTTACCATAATCAGTTACAGAAATAAAAATATCCACTGCTACTGTTTCGGGAAAGAGTTTTTCGCAATTTAACAATAGGGAATGTTGACTAGCAACTACAGCAATGTTGTCCAGGTCATTATTCACAGCTACTGCTGCGTCATTCAGATCGTCTAAGAGAAACTTGTGGTAAAGTTGAATATCATCAGCGCACATGTGTATTTTACTATGGCCAACAAAGCCAACAAAGCGGCCCCGAGACAGAATCCTGTGGTACACCAGATTACACATTTTTAGCAAAATATATTTTATCTCCCAGTTTCACGCTTTGCGAATAGTTATAGTCTATTTCAAAAGAGTGTAGAGTAATAAAATCTCATTAAGTATTCAAAAGCGATACAGGATGATCCGTCAATAAATTCTGTCACTTCCCTAGTCCGCATTGCAAAATTATGTCGTTTCATAAAGAGCAGGTAGGTATCACCCTGTTTTAAGGGATTTGTCCATTGTTATCGACGGATAAATACTGAGCCAGAGGCGCGCTAGTGGGATAATTGCCAAAAGAATATGCATTCATAAAAATTATATTAAAGGAAATAAAAATTTAATACAGCAGAACAGTGTTATTAAAAAAATATAAAATGTAACAATAAAATATATACGAACCGAAATCGGGAAATACTCACAAACACACACGAACGAACTTTACGTATTGAAACACTTGTGGGGACTTTAAATCAATTTATTCACAAAAACGACAAGAACTTTACTGGATACGTTATTACAATTTGACACTTGAACAATACTAAAACTGTGAACTTCCCTTAACGTTTAACAACACTCTATTNGTTTAATAGGTATTGCATGATTGGTGGGCAGGGTCAAAAAGGGATTATTATAATGACATGGCACCTCGGAACTAAGTGTTAACCCTTTTTTGAGAAATCATGCTCAAGTATATGAACCCAAATTGCATATTAAATAAGTTTACAAGAACCACTAAAATTAATCTTAATCTTTTTTTAAGAAATTTTACTTACCTAAATACATGTAGGTACTTAGTTTTAGACCAAATTACTTCCCAAAAATGGCCTTTTATTATTATCTATGTCTGTAATTTTTAATTTACTTTAATTATTAAGTTTAATAATCCTAAGATTTGCCTACGCCCATGAACGACAACGAAATTCAGACAAATTTTATGACACTTCATGATTTATTACTCTACACTCTTTTGAAATAGACTATAATAGTGTATTATGCCGAACAGTAAAGGCTTTGCTAAAGTCAAGCATGATCAAGGCTGTACATTCTGAATTATCAATTGTCCGAGTAGATCACCAAAGCGGATTCTGTGACACCAGCTAATGAGAGCGCGGTATAGTTTGGTGTTGCGCAGTTACGCGCATGTCGAGGGTTAGGTTAGGTTAGGTTAGGTGTTATCACCGATAGCGTAACCAACCGAATAAACTGGTCATGTGACGAATTGCTACGCTCTCATTGGCTGGTGTCACAGAATCGACTTTGGTGATCTACTTGCCCGAAATATATCATTAGTAACATGCTGTGGTCGAACTATGCGCTGTTCTGAAACCTGATTGAATTTGTGGCTAATTGTGATTATCATTAATGAATTCGCTGAATTGTTTTGCTATAATATTTTCCAATAGCTCGATTGATAAATATTATGCTGATATATGAACGAGATATGGTAGAATATATGGACAGCAAATTTTTATAAAAGCTATACCCAGACTATCGAAACCTGTGGAACTATTTTTAATTGAATTGCTGTTTGGAATCATTTGAAGGGATTGAATTACATCTGTTTCAATACTTATAATTGGTGCCATGATATTACCATGAAAAACAATTGCTGATTGATTTTAACTATCAGCTTGACCATGTTGTCGAAATATAAAGCAGGTTCCTTTTTGTTGAGACGTTGAAAAACTTACTCAGAGCTGGTAAAGGTGAACAAGCTCCGGAACATGACAAATACAATATTTACTTTTGGAGGAGAGAAAATATATTAATCGAATAATATCTTTTCACGAAATCGCGAATAACCAGCGAAATGCGTCAGTTTATGAATCAAATGAAATGTTTCAGTCGACCGCAAGGATCATAGCGAAGGTAATTATTGGATTTAGATGTTTCTCTCTCGTTAGATGGCAAAAACTAATAAATTAACTCGCAGCCATTAAAGGCTGAAAGCGGGTGTAATATGTGGAAGCAACAAAGCTATTCAGGGAATAAATGATCATCTTTTATCTGTCAGAAAACCGATTACATAAAATAATGGTTCTAGATCGAAAATGAACGGATGTAACACATTGATATATGTGGAAAATTCCCTACATTTGTCTCTGTATCCTGTCTCTGGTTAATATATTAGGGTTCGGCAAAATTTTCTCCGAATTGTTCAAAATGGAGATGTGGTTTTCATAACTAGCTTAATAACTTTATTGAATTGTTTTAGAGACCTAAAATTTTATTTTTCTTTGCAGGTGTCCAAATCGCCTACTTTGCGATAATAGGAAGTCACTTATTTATGATAGTACTCAGTATAGGACTGTTATTTGGAATATTCAGGGTGAGTAATTTTCAGAATTATAGAGAAAAGAGATTACGTGACGTAAATGTTAACGATTTTCTGTAGATAATTTCATACTCCAATGCTGAAAATAATAAGGTTACTTTTTATTGAAGACGATAAAAGCTCTGAATATTACTTACTTCTTCTTAATGAATTTATTCACAGAAAATTCAATGTCAGAAGTTTCAATAATATGATACTGATGATAATACTGATACTGAAATGATACTTCACGATTGTACAATAGTAATATAATTGTCTCATATCCATAACTTCACCATCTTCATACTATATAATTGATTAAGTTCTTTGTGAGGTAAGTAATTTTTCAAGGAACGGAAGTTATGAAGCATTGTTTGCAGTTTTTTTATTGTATATTTTATATGAGAATCCCACCTTGAGTTTCTATCTATGTAGATGCCCAAGTATTTAATTTTTTTCAGAGAATCTATTTTTATTGTTTTTCCTTGTTCGCCGACATCAAGAGTTTCAAATGGACAATCATTGGATAGATTGCAGCTAAAAGGAGGAAAATTAGTTTCTTCCAGATTCACTGTCAGGAGCCTTTGGTCAAACCAATTTTTGAGCAATCTGTTTCTACGTTTTTTTTCAAATCAAGCCAAGTGTCTGCCTCATATAATATCGCAGTATCGTCTGCGTATTCAATTATTTTCCCAACGCTGTCCAAATTGAATAATTCATTTAGATATAAATTGAAAAGCAGAGGACCCAGTATCGTACCTTGTGAGACTCCACATTCTATTTGTTTTTGATTGCTAATTGTATCTGCAATTCGCACCACTTGCATTTTATTCCGAAGATATCTTTCAAAAAGCGTTTGGCGGTTCCCTCTGATACCATTATTTTCTAAAGTTTGTAGGAGTAGTTGATGATCGACAGTATCGAAAGCCTTTGTTAGGAATAAAATAGACATAAAGAAGGTTTTCCTCTCTCCTAGGATTTATGTATCAATTCTGTCAGTTCAAGAATCGCAATGTATGGTAGTGCAATAAAATTGTTATATTGACCATAATAATGTTGAGAAAATCAAGAATTATTAGCAACTATATGATCTATTATTATTTTCTCTTATCTATCATTATTATGATAGTAAATAAGTATTTTTATAATTATTTTCTTACACTCACCGTATAATTTTTGGGAGTGGTGAAAGAAAGTTTTTGGCAAACCCTTTCCTTTTACGTATAAATGTATTTTTTATGCATAATAAACAAGTTATTATTATTCTAAATATCCATTTACGAAGTCGTCAATAAGTAATGATGCATGTCTAGTGTCATATTTACCATATATTCATTTAAGCGTCTTCCCTGTATGTGATAGCTATATAAATGTTTCTACTTTCATGTCTACATCGTTGATTTCTTCTGGTCCTTTATGAGACTGATCCCGTAAGGTACATGTTTATTCATTTCCGAGTTCTAGTAGTTCCACAGTCGTTATTTTGGCAGAATAATAAATATAGTTCGAAAAACTGAAAAACACGCTTTTTAAGAACATCGATCTGAGAAGTTGTTTTTTTTTAATAATTTTGAAACGATAACGAACGATACTATTATCATCGTCCATAGATATTCTAATAAGTCCGCTCACTCTCAGCAGCGACCCAAATCATCACCCTCCGTCCTCGCGCGTCCCTTGCCTGGCCGGTCGGTCGTCAGTGCCCGTCTGACGGGGGCGCCAGTTTAACAGAGTGTCTCCGATTGAACAGTTCGCATCGTTCCGGCCAGTTATACTTAGTGCGTAAAATAAACATTTTATTGGAACTTTTATTCTTGTAGTTATTTGAACATTTTTTATTGTTGTGATGACTTCTCACCGTACCTTTTGCAGTGTGGATTCTTGTGATAGTTTACGTGAAAATATTTCATTTTTTCGATTCCCCAAAGATGCCACAAGGTAATAAATTCATCAAATACATAATGTCAGTTATAGGTCAAAAATGTTTCGGTAGTAATGTGATTTAGATACTATTTATAACTAATGTTCAAACTATATTTCGCAGGTGTCAGCAGTGGAAAAAAGCATTTGGTTTTGTTGGAGACCACAAATATGCTAACTTAACACCTGAGCAAGCCTACATTAGAATACGAGTTTGTAGAAAACATTTTGACGATGAATCCTTCACTTCCTCTGGAAAACATTTACTTACCACTGCTGTGCCCTTAAAGTTTCCAACAAAATTGGACGGTAAGAAATTTTCCACTTCACAAGCATGGAATATTTTTTTGAATGAGTTATTTTCAGGTAATGATCAAAACAATGACAATCCAGGTCCCTCCAGCGTATTAGCTCCTTCAAAATTAGATGCGTGTACACAAACAGATACATGTCATGAAGTTGAACAAGGTAAATGCCAAAGCTCTATGATGATGAACATAATCACTCATTCATATTACAAATGTTTTTTAGAATTAATTCCCAACAAAGAAACTGATTATGTACTACAATCCANAAAACATAAATACATAATATATAATGAATATGATCAACACTTGACGCCTGACCCTCGTAGACACACTTTCGAGTAAACATATTGTTCGCGCTGCTGACTGACCCTCGTATAACGTATTTCTGCTGGTAGCCGCATGATTTACGACCGCTCGCAAAAAAAGCGGCATATTTTACCCACATCAAAGGAGTTACCAGACTTATTAGAATATCTATGGACGATGCTATTATTATTGTGAAAAAAGCGACCGGCAGCAGGCGCGCAAAGGAGAGTTACAAATACAGCCGCAGGCGCACGTGTTAATAAAAAAAATACTTTTTTCAAATTAATAAATACATGTAAAGTGAGTTCGAATTATATCAAGGAGTTTACGTTCAGCGTCATCTGCCCGCGAATAGATCCAGTAATAATGTCGATAATTCTGTCAAATACAGATCCTGAGCTTGAGAGTTACAAACAAATAAGCAAACATACATACACACATACATACACACATACATACATACAGGTGAAGCTAATAAAAGCGGGTTTATTAATTAAAAAATAAAGAAACTGACTTTCATTGACAGTAAAAACACTGCCGAATCAATCAATAACAAGCATCAATATCAATACAAAAGACAAAAACGACAAAAATTCTTTCACACACAGTCAACATGAAACCATAGGGAAAATCAATAAGGCCTTGCCGACATTAGTTGTCTCCGACTGAAGAGACGGAGTGGAACCCGGAAAATGCATTTGATGCATTAGCAAACTGTACGAGATGGTTGCTGCAACAACTGAAACATTATCAACATAATCATCACTCAAAAATTATAACCTCATTAGTTTCCACGCTTCAATGGAAACTTCAATTCGATTATGAATATGGAGCGGAACGGAACATCTTCATTGGCTTTCTTGCAATGAACCCTTCCACAATGCTTGGTGTTGCGTTTATGTGGATAATAATTTGTAAGGCTTCATTTCCATCGGAACTATAAATAATAACAGATTTTTTGCACTTTGTTGAGAATGATATTTCATAATAGTTTCCATTCTATCGTCTTGCATGTATACGTTTCAATAAAGTATCTGTCAGATGGACGTATGGAAGTTAATATTTACTTATTATACAGTAAAACAAATAACGATGCAACAGTTCTTTCAGTGACAGCTTTGACAAATTCCACTTGTCTTCACAACATTCCTGATATAAACACACACATTCTAAGGAATACGATAATGTGGAACAACAGTTCTATCATCTCAATCTCTATTTCCCCATTCCTTCCCGCCGGCTTCTTTTTCTCAAGAACTCCTCCAAGATAAGGGCAGAGTCCATAAGATTTCTCTGAACACTCGGAGATAAAAATCCGCTCTAAACGAATTTTAAATTCCTGGGATTTGTTTTCCTTCCTTCTCATTTGCAGGGAACGTTTACACGAAGAGTCGTCTGGAGATTCAGCAAATAGAAATAATTGAAGATAGCGTCTTATAATGAGTTATAGAGTGGAAAGGAGTTGTTATGAAATGAAAATTATTATATACTAACATGATTCCGCATAAGAATAAATGGTAGTTGTCTTATTTTGGAGAAGAAAGGGAAAAATTCGAGGTTACATGGTCATTTAGCTGTAGCCCGTAAGGCAAATATGTGTTTTATTATCAAATGTCTGATTATGTTTCATTTTCTTTTTCTTATACTCACACATTCCAACATTCGTGAAAACCTACACTGAAATATAGAACCGTGTGCACGTGTTTCGGAATTTTGTTCCATCATCATTATGATGTAGCCAAGTGCAAGGGTGGGCAACCCAGTGTAAATAAAAGCTGATAAAACTATCGTGGCAGCTAAAATTTATTATAAAAATTGTATAAATACTATCATGGATACTTTTACTAATTTTCATCAAATAACCGATCCGTTTATTCAATATATCATCAATTAGTTTGTCATGTCGATTGCTCAGCGTGTTCACTAGCCTATCAGACTTGAAGTTTCTACTTTATTTTCCTCTGAATTTCTCTTGCAATTCACGTTAATGAAGTTCTTCGATCCGTATTTGCGAGGGTGATGAAAAATCAATAGAGAAATTTCAAACCTCAATGAACAATAATTTGTGAGTTCGACAAATCTAAAGCAGACTATTTTCCCAAGGGGAAAACCGACGTTTCAGTTGGAGAATTGAATGAAAAATTAGGAAAGAAACTTTCTATGTTTTTTACCACTTGTATTTGTAATTAAAGTTACTGCAGTTTCGTGCTATACGAACATTTTCAAACGAGCATATTGTATTCGTTTGGAAACTTTTTTATAGGACAAAATTGCAGTAACATTACTTACACAAGTGCTAAAAAACAGAAAGTTTTATTTCTCATTTCTCATTACGATCTCCCACCATCTAGTATCGTCTGTGTTTCCCTAAGAGTTTTCCAATCCTCTATGTGTCCTTAGGGATATATGGTAGATACGGGCGTGCAGCCATCTGACCCTTCTCTCCATTCAGTTTCATGGCTTTGTCAAGGTCACTTGAAGATGTTCCAGTTCTTCCTCTAGATCAGGGATCTCCAAACTACGGCCCGCGGGCCAAATCCGGCCCGCCAGTGTCATCAATCCGGCCCGCGACAGCCAATGATTTACTGTCATCAATCCGGCCCGCGACAGCCAATGATTTACTGTCATCAATCTGGCCCGCGACAGCCAATGATTACCTAATTGTTGTTACTATTGCTGTGATAAGTTGAAGAAGAAAACACAGAATGATAATTACTCGGTTTTATTTACTTGCAAGGTAAAACTTACCGACAGAAATGATGACAAAGAAAACTTAACTTAAGTATCTAAGTTTGAGCATATTAATAACTATAAAATATTTGAAATGAATCACAGTAAAACAAAAACACTAATGAGATTTATGTAATTGTGATTTTCCACCGACAAAACTTTGTAGTTGTGGATATAAGTTTGCTTAGGTCACGCACTTTGCGACTATCCTAGTCTAAAAATATAGTTAAGGGCAGAAATTGGCCCAAAATGGTGGATGTTACAGCGAGTCTGGTACCCCTGGAACGAAAATTTAGACTGACAGTGACCCCCTCCCAGAAAATTCCGAAAGGAAATTGCAAGTGAAAATGTTTGTTGAATCCTAATTCGACTGGGCTACTTCGGAATTAGTGAATACCCAGGTTTTAAACCCGTAGAAAATTGAATTCCATCTGATAGCTTACACTCCACACAAACATAAACGACAACAAAGGATAAAATGTTCTATCCAACGGCACACATGGTTCGAGATGAAACACAAACATCGCCTCGGTATATCTGAAGTACTTCATCCAACATGAAACTCAAAACATTCTTGCTAACTCGTACGCCTCATTTCCCGAATATATCTCATGCCACCGATATCCCGAAACGAATGCCACCCTCTATCCCCATCCCTTCACGGTTTGCATTCCACACACGATCAGTAAACATACCTAGACACTATCAGATTTGATTGCGTTCCCCTCGGGTAGACCGTTTTATTTATTTTGATCAGTTTGTTTGCCGTTAGCTCTTCACCGTATGTTCCGACGTATATTGTTTGGTAAGAAATAAATTATCGCACCATCCCAATGTTTGTTTTTTGTTCTGAGGGCTGCTTGTATTCTCGATCGCAATCAAATATATCGAAGGGCACTAATAGTGATTCGTTGTTCACCAGCTACAAGCAATTTCATAAGTGTTGGAACCTTCAAGCTTCCGTTGCCCGAAGTCTAGAATGGAAACAATAGGAATTCAATAATAGTCAATACATATGAATATATAACAGACATTTACGGAATTGCTGAAATAGAAGATATTTTTATAATTTGTTTATCAAAAATCACTACTTCAAAACTGGAAATTTCGATTTTGATCCCGAAATTTCGACTTTGAATTAGGAATTTCAAGATTTAAGTCGACTCTAAATCCAAAATTTCGACTTTCATTTCAAAGTTTCGATTTGGTTATCGAAATACTCGATAAATGTCGTCTTTAAACTTGAAATTTCGACTTCCAACTCGAAATTTTGACTTTGAGTTTGAAATTTCAATATGTAAGTCGGCTTCAAACCTTTATTTTGAAATTACCATATGAAAGTCGAAATTTCGACTTCAAACTCAAAATTTCTGAATTTGAGTCGAAAAAAGTTTCGACTCCAACCTTGAAATTACGATTTTATACTGAAAATTTCGACTTTTAACACAAAATTTCGACATTAAACTCCAAATTCCAGGATTGAAGTCGACATAAAACTCAAAATTTTGTCTTCAACTTTGAAATTTCGACCTTAAACTCGAAATTTTGAAATAGGAGTCGTCTTTGAACCGAAATTTTCGACTTTAACTTCGCAATTAAGATTTCACACTCGAAAGTTCAACTATATTTCCAAAATTTCGACGTTAAACTCGAAATTCCAAGATAAACGTCACCTTTAAACTCAAAATTTTGACTTTAATCTTGAAATTTCGAGTTACAACCCGAAATTTTGACTATGAACTCAAAATTCCAATAATAAAGTCGCCTTTGAACCTTTAATTCTGAAATCGCGATTTAAAACTGGAAATTTCGACTTCATACTCGAAATTTCGGCTTCAAACTTGAAATTCCAACTTTTAACTATGAATTATGACTTCAATTTCGAAATTTCAAACTCAAAAATTCTAACTTCAAATTAGAAGTCAACTTTTGACTAGAAATTTCGACTTACAAATTACAATAACTACGATTTTATTCTCGAAATTTCTAATGATCTGAAAGAATAAGTTGAAATTTCGACTTTCAACTCGAAATGTCAACCTTAAGCTCAGAATTTAAAGATTACCATTTTTCTTCAAACTCAGAATTGTAACTTCAATCTCGAAATTTCTTCTTAAAACTCGAAATTTTCACTTCAATTCCGATATTTCGAATTTGAACTCGAAATTTTAAGATCGAAGTCGACTTCAAATCTGAAATTTCGACTTTAATCTCGCAATTACGAATTAATACTC